CACCTCCCTTTTCCGAGCAGCCCTTGATGAGAACTCGAGTCCCTTCCTTTCCCCTCCATTACTTCCTCTGAAGTGAGGGCCAAAGTGGGCTCTGAGTGCAGGTGAAAGGCTTCTTTCCTCCAAAGCTGAACTTGAGAGGAACATTATGAGCACTAAAAATGATTGGCCCATGGGGCAGTATAGCACAGGGGTGAAGAGAAAGACCTTAGAGTGTGGCTACTTGGATTCAACCCCTGGCCAAGCCATGTATTAGCTGTGTGACTCTGGATAAGTTACTTAACTTCTCTGTGACTCAATCACCTCACCTGTGCAAAGGAGACAATAAGTACACCTGCCTCATGGGATTATTGGGAGGAGCAAATGAATTAGTTTATGTAAAGTGTCTAAAATGTAGTAAGGCCTTTAGAAAGGCAAACTTACTTTGTTATGAAAGGAAGTTCGGGGACATCACATGGATTAACCAGCATGGATGTGGGCTGAGGGCACAACAAAAACCCCTTCCTGCCCTCAATGCAGGCATGAGCAATTTTCTCACAGGTAAAATTAGCTTGAAATGAAACTCAAGATGAGGAAGGGGCAAAGACACAAGCAGGCAGGTTTAGCGGGGTGCTCAGAGTTCCTCGGTGGTGATGCTGGGTTCAGGGCCCTTGTGGACTGGTTTTCTGGAACACGGTGAACAGCTTCTGCTAGGTCCTGTATCTAGTTCCCTCGAACAGAGAGGTCTCTCCGAGGCTGCCCCACATCCCAGGGAGAGGTGGGGCTTGGGGAGAGCCAGGAATTGTGCTCCAATTTATCAGAGCTCAGAGACAGTCTGGTTAGTATTTGGTCATTATCGCCATCATTATTTTCCTGGTTAGTATTTACACTGATAAACATTCTAAATGGATCGTGTTGGATTCATTTGACTCTTTTTTCTGCCCTGTTGGATTACACACACTGTTCCTGGATGCACCAGGAAATTGCACCTGGGACAGGTCATTGAATTGGAGGTAATTGAATTAGATGGATGAGCAGCGTGGGCTCAGAAGAACAAGATGGTGAGAATGGGCCTCATATTCCAACCCAGGGTCATTTGCTCTATAGGTTAAATATTCTCTGGCACCTGGGAAGTGTTCACTGAATGCTAGTGGAATGAATTAGTGAGTACGTGCATGCATGCATGAATGACCCCTTTATAACTCTGTCATTTGTTTTTCAAATCATGAGGGCAGGGACCTATATTCTTATTTTTTATTCTATTTCTCTTTGCCCTAGCAGAATCCTGGACTTGAAATAGGACCTCAGCAAATATATTGTACAATTAAACTGAGTGATACACAGAGGGAGTGACACCATTATCTATAATTCACCTGTAAGATACCCTGAGGATCCTGCTAATGTCCTGACTACTCTATGCCAGAGAAGACCAAACAGAAAATGAAAAGGCCTTAGCAATTGAACTTCACCTCTAACTGTATAGGTGACTTTAGCCAGTCACTTTATTCTCACCTTTGGTTTTATTATCCCCGAAAGGAAGGACTGGGACTAGATGATCCCATCCTAGAGGCCTGTCTTGGCCTTAACACAGCCCTCAGGGTTAGAGCTGGGGCCTGCATGGGACCCTTCCCCTGCCATGGATTAACTGTTTGATTGGCCAAGGCATGTGGTTCCTTCCAGTCCCTACAATCTGTCAGGGCTGCCTGGACACCCCTGAGGCTTGAGATTGCTGAGAGTGCATCTCGGGATCAAGGGCAGTGGAAGGGTGTGGGCTTTCATCAGGGAGTCCTGGGCTGAATCCCCGACAGTTAATTGCAGAACTTGGGCAAGTTATTAACCTTTCCAAACCTCAGCTTCATTACCTCTTAAATGGGGATGATAATTATACATACCTCACCGGTTGTGATAAGGATGGAAAGATACCCTGTTGATAAGACGCCAGCTCAATGACCGGTGTTAATGCTATAATTTCACTATTATGTCACACAAGCTATACAAACTACTTCACCTTCCTCAGCCTCGTCTGGATTGGGCTTCCCTTCCCCTCTATTTATCTGCTTCTCTGTCTGTAATAAATATTCTGCCTCACTTCCCAGAGTCAGTACTCTGAACAAACAGTGTCATTAGTGATACTGCATTGCTCTTACCCATCATGCTCAGGTTTTCATCCCAAGTCCTGTTATTCTGCTGCAGAAGATAGTTTGGGAAGGTGGGCTAGGTGGGAGACGTGTCTCTCAAACATTCTCATTCTTAGGGAGTAATTTAGTATTTTTCCTAATAGTTGAATCCAGACAGACTTTCTGATTCAGCAGGCACAAGTAGACTTCTCTCTGAGCTTTTAAACCTTGAGTCTGATTTCTCTGGGAATCCAGCTTATGGGGAACCAACAGAACGATCCTCACTTCTGAAATATTTCCCCTACCACAGATGCCTAGCCGAGGAACCCTGGGGACATTAGGTGCCTTGTGTTTTAGGCCAAGGAAGATCTTGGCCTAGTAGACCATGCTTTGAAGGATTTCCAAAGAGGTATAAGATTTGGTCCCTGTCCCCAAGAAGCAAAAAATTTGGCTGGGGAGACAGAGAAAGATATATTTAAAATACATTTTTAAAATATAAAACCAAACTCCTGGGGCACTTGGGTGGCCCAGTTGGTTAAACGTCTGACCTCAGCTCACATCACGATCTCAGTTTGTGAGTTTGAGCCCCACACCGGGCTATCTGCTGTCAGCACAGAGCCCGCCTCAGATCCTCTGCCCACCACTGCCCCCCCTCCCCCCATCTCTGTCTCTCTCTCTCTCTCTCTCTCTCAAAAATAAATAAACAATTTTTTTTTTTAAATCAAGCTTCTATTTCTAGATTTAAAGGTGGTAAATATTGAGCATCCAAGGACAGCATCATAGAGGAGATAGGAGCTGATTTGGACCAGAATTGGAATTAGCAAACGAGAGTGTCAAAGGGCTTCAGGGTCCCACGAATAATCTGGGTGTGGGCCTGGAAGCTGACAGCCTGGGAATGCCATGGGAAGACAGAGGAGAGAAGAGCAAGGGGCTCTTCTGCTGGCTATGTTGGGGGACTGTGAAATCCAAGCATGTGTATGTTGTGAGTAGGTGAACACAGAACTTGGGTTTGAGCTTATATAAGGGGGTAGGGTGGGGGCCTGTGGGGTCCTGGAATGTGGGAGGGTTGGCAGGAAATGGCGAGGCAGGGGTGGAGTGGGGTTGGCTGAGGGTCAGAGAAAGGAAGCAAGTCCTGGAGGCCTGAGGAGGCAAGATGGGAGGGACGGGGACAGTCCCCCAGGGTGGAGGACCAGACCTATGGTGAAGGTAGTGTCTGTAAGGGTGGAGAGTCTTTTCTGCCATGGGTGAACTGTTTAATTGGCTAAGACATAGAGCCCTGATTTGGGGAGAGGATCAAGGTTTCATTGTAGAATATTGTGTGAGATGGTATTTAGGGTGAGCTTCAGTAGTGTGTGTATCAGTGCGCTGTGGCTGCTGTAACAAATCACCATAGACTTGCTGGCTTGAGACAGGTGTTTCTTCTCTGGAAGCGAGAAGTCTGAAGTCAAGCTGACACAAGGCCATCCTCCTTCTGGAAACTTTTGGGGGAAATTGCCTCTTCTAGCTTCAGCCCGTTGGTGGCTTCCTTGGCTTGTGGCCACACCATTCTGACATCTGCTTCAGTCTTTCCATCAAGTTTTCTTGTGGGCGTGTGTGTCTCCTCTTGTATCTTTTAGAAGGATACTTGTCAGTAGATTTAGGGCCAACCTAGGTAATCTAGAACAGTCTTATCTCAAGACCCATAACTTCATTGCATCTTCATAGCCTCTTTTTCCAAATAAGGTGACATTGCCAGGTTCCAGAGATTAGGGCACAGACATATCTGTTGGGGCCACCGTTCAATCCACTACAGCATGTGCTCTGAGGAGGGAGCATGAAGGAAGGAGACAGAGTACCCCCAAATGGAGAGGAAACCATGAGGTGTGGGTGGGTCTTCTGGAGGACTGGCACCACGTGCTTCATAGATGGCCTGTCATGTGACAACACTTACACAATAAACTCGACCTGAGTGTGCGCCGTGTGCCAAGCACAGAGCTCAGCACTTGTGCTGATGGGATAATTATAATAATCTATAATAATCCATATTATTTCCTTTCAGCTTCACAGCAAGGGTATGAGAGAGGCTGTTGGGCTCCTGCTCTGAGCCAGCCCCTCACCCCGACAGAGCTCTTGCTCTGCACTTGTCTGCACTCGCTGACTTTATTTGATTGTCCTCACCTCTCATGCTCTCTGGCTGTCATTCATCTTTAACACAAACAAATGTTCTGGTGGCGGGGTCTTGATGTGTGTGGGGTAGGTGGCCGGGCGACGGCTATGGCGGGGAACTGCTGTACTCTCACACAGGAGAGCTCCTGAGAGACACCTGACAGCTAAAGCCCACGTTAAGTTGACAGCAGAAAAGGAGGTCGAGCTCATAGATTTCAGAGCCAGGCTGTGCTTCTTACCTGTCGTGTGACTTGGCCCAAGTCACTTCCGCTCTCTGTGCCTCGGTTCCTCGTCTGTAAAATGGGGACCACAATACCCGTTACTTCTTGGGGTTTTCAAAAATGATGATTAAATGCATGTCGATGTGGGTTTGTAAACGTATATTAAGTGTGAAGTGCTGGGAGTGGTTCTTAGCGCAGGGTAAGTGCTATGTGCTGTATACTTAACCAAAACCACAGAAGAGTGCCGAAATGCATGTGTTAGGTTCCTGTGATGCCAGCATCTGTGGCTCCCTGGGGTCAGGCGCTATGTGATACAGATTCCTCTGTGAGGACGAGGAGCCCTTGGGAACACAGGCAGTGCTGAGCCTTCGATGTTGGAACCGGGTCTCTCTCAAAGACTGGTCTGTCCTAGGTCCTAGCCAGGAGTGCTTGCTTGTAAGGATACCAAAGAGAAGGGACGGTCGCCTCGAAGGCAGCCTCACGTTCCAGATCTGAGAGCATTCCAGACAGGGACTCTAGGCCCATCTTACAGCTGGGTGCCATGGTGGGCACCAGGGTGCCGTAACAGGAGGGTGCAGTGACCTTGGCCCTTCTCGCAGCCCTGGGCTTGAATGGGATCTTCAGGTTGTTACCACAGGGCATGCTCACAGCCGGCTGTTTTTCCTCACAGGCCGATGCGGCTACCAGCTTTCTGAGAGCAGCAAGATCGGGTAACTTGGACAAAGCTTTGGATCACCTGCGGAATGGCGTAGACATTAACACCTGTAACCAGGTAAGTGGGATGGGGGCAAGCACGTGGTCTCTGGAGAGAGGCTCTTGTCTGATGCCATTTTCTGACAGCTTTAATCTGCCTCTATTAACCTTTTCCCAGTGGCCATAAAATTCCCCAAAGGCTTCGCCTGCTGAAGGCCCTGACCTTGGTGTTCACATCCCAGATGCAGTCCAGGGCCCTGCAGAGAAGGACCTGATGCCTGAACAGTGTGGGCCGGGCCCAGCCTCCATCCCCTGCTGCCTCTTCCCTCAGAACTTGCCTTGGTCCCTGCTGTGGTCTTAGAACATGTGGCCTTTGAAAAGGGGCAGGAGGAAGGGCCTTTGAAGGATGTTGTATCAGTGGTGACATTCAATCTCCTTTGTCCACTAGCAGCCTTTGTGGGTTCTCGCTGAGCTTAGAAGGAAATAGTGATGACACCTCCCTTGCTCTGTCAGGTGTTGATAAAAGCGAGTCTGGCTCAGGCTGAGAGCCAACGTGGCTTGAATGAATTCTCTGGAGGTTCCCAGTGCTATGCAATGGGTTCGGTTTCAGGATGGGGTAGTATGGAAACTTAATGCGTTCAGGACAGATCGGAGGGCCAAAAATCAGGTTTTGGGCCAAATATTTAGGAATTGACTGAACAGAGAAGAAAGTATGGTCTAGAAAGAGAACAGGGGTACAGCTTGGGTGTATGGATTGGATGACTTTGGTGTGGTTTGTCTGGTTTGGCCAGCCAATTAAGTTGTTGGGGTACATGTGCTAATTCAGTTTCTAATGTAGAATAAATATATCAGTTATATATATATAT